GCCGGGCTTGCTGCTGCCAGGCCCGGCCCGCTCCCGCCCCCGCTGGGGCATCAGCCACCCGCTCCAGTGGGAATCTCCCTCCCCCGCCTAACTGGGAAAAAAAGGCCTCACCTGTCTCTCCGTCTGTATACGTGTGTGTGTGTATGTGACTGTACTTACACATATGTGCGTGTATCTGTAAATACACTTGTGTATATATGTATTTATCACACACACACACGTGTGCGTGCATGCACAAGGAAGGCAGAGCAGAGCCCAGCAGGCGCCCAGGGAGCGCCTGTGCGGTGAGCAGGGCTGCAGGTGCCAGTCCCTGCAGGAGCGGCCTCGTTGGATCATGCACGCGTGCAGGCGTTGAAGCAGCAAGGGTTCCTGCCTCTCTCTGGCTTTCCCAAGGAGATGGAGAGGTGAAACTCGCTGTGCTATGGTGAAAATGACTCTATGCATGTGCTTCTTACAGATGCGCCTGGTTGAGCACTGTGATCTGGGTGCTTACAATCATCCAGCTTGAAGGACCTGTGATGAGTTTGAAATTTGGACCGTCTTGGATTATCTGAAGGACTCCATGTGTGAGATGTCTGCACCCTGTTGAGCTTCCCTCTCTCCCACCGTGGCACCTTGCACCTCTGGTTAAACCTGTTGTTCAGGTACTGTTAAAAAATGTCCAAGTGTTGCAAAATGAAAACCCCTAATCCGGAAAAGGCAGGACCAGTCGGTATTGAAGCTGAGTGCCTTTTGGAACAAAGTTCATTTAAATTCTGTCTGATCTTAAATCTGTAGGACTCTGGGCAGAACAGATGATTACGTCTCATCAAGTCCTGCATCTTCAGTACTTAGCATTCATGTCACTGCCCCCTTCGTGGCTGGTGCCAAAAGGAAAAGTGTCTCCCCATAGAGCTACATGTCATTTTGGAACGTGATTTCACCCCACGTTACAATCTAGTAGACTTCTAATGGTCTAGAAGAGAGTGAAGGATTTTCCAACTTTCAGAGTTATCTCCACGCTGAATCTAGCTCTCAGCTTGTGGCATGGGGAGATGGACAGATTTCTTTATAAGCAGTGTCCCCAAGGCTGTTCACAGGTAGGACAGCTCTACCTGCATGGGTCAGCCTGTTTTGGCCTTTTGATCATATCTCAATTACTGTCTTGGTTTAAAAGAGGATAATAGTATGTATTAAGTCAACAGAGATACTGTCAGGTTAGGATTAAATGACATTTACTGCAGGGAAAGCATAAAAGATTCCTGGAGTACTAAGTGTTGTTACTACAAATGCAGCTTTAAAAAATCTGGAAAAAAACCCTTTAATGTGTATTTTTTACTGTATGAAACTTAGAGATCCTTATAAAATGAATTTTGGCCCTGAAAACACAACAGAAATTGAAACGTAAAGCTAGAGATTAAAAAACTACTGGGAGTTACAAGATCAAAATCTGTAGTTAAGAGAGTATTGGTAACTTAGGGTATCAGAAAACTTTGATTAGAATTAGATTTCTGTTTCTCATGATGGCTTCCTGCATCCTCTCCGTAAAATATGTTAAAAGCTGTGGTTTTCCTGCCATATATGATGATGCCAAATTTTATTTGCATAGATACGTGTGTATTGATATTAAGTGTCAAGGGGGTGTCCAAAGTTGGCATCTCATATTAAAACCTCCATGTTCTCTGTCAGTGATGACTCAAATCCAGTGTTGTCTCGGTTCAGCCCACTTGATGGGGTTCTTCAAGACTGGATGTTACAAACCAAGAGTCTTTCTCTCTTTTGTAAATGTTAACTTTTTTTTTTCCCATCTTGTTACAAATTCAATACAGTTACCTGTATGATTTAACTGAAATACCCTTTCTTCTTTCACCATTTTGTAACTTATCTTCAGGGCTCGGCAAACTACATGTACTTCTACTGCAGGTGTACGTGGTAAACGCAACTGTCTCTTTAAACACTGTGAACTGCATGATTTGGGCTTTATTAAGGGATAAAATTTGAATTTAATGGAATTTCGCATGGGCTAGGGGGTCACTGAAAGTAAAGAATATGAATGAAAACGTGAAAATATAGGGGAAAAAGTATTCCATATTTTCTACTTCTCAGCTTTCATACCTCTGCTTACAGACAGGAAATGTTCTCAGAGCCATTGTGCCTTTACAGAATACAGATACAGGGCTACACATTTATTTACATCTATTAATGCAGTATGAAATGTTATAAATAATGTTATAACTTTTGATGTTCAAAAGTATTTAGAGCCTTTTACATTTTCTTCAGTAACTATCATAGTCTAGGGCTGAGCAGGATCAGACTTCAATAGTTAAAAGATGTCTCTCTAAATCTTCTATGAAATGCCTGTGGGAACCTGGACAAATCACTTGCAACAACAGCCCATTCCTCAGGTTTTATATAACTAAGGTAACATTATTTGCCAGGTACTCTGCTGTGCCTTGGTGATGATTCTGTGTTGTTCTTTGCTTTTGAATTAACTTTATTTTAAAAAGTTGTAACGTGTTTGAGGTTGTTCCCTTAAAATTAGACACTTGAAAACAGGGATTTAAATAACTAAATAAAGAACTTCTCTCCTTGTTCTAGAAAAAGTTCCTGAAGTTAACACAATGTCAATGCCTTTTCATTTCCCACTCCAGACCTTACTTTATTTATGCTGACAAGTCCAGAATGAGTGGAGCAGGAACGTGATCTTTTGCATATGTGCATATTATTTATGACCGTTGTGCAGAGTTTGCTAATGGCATTTCTGTGGTTTAAAAGGAATGGGTTGCTTATTTAAAAGAATATTGTCATGACCTGATTGTATTTTTCATAAAAAATGTTTATACGTTTTCTCTTTTTCCTCCTTCTCAGTTTTGCTTTACAAAGCAAGTTTCTTCAGAAGAGGAAGAAGGGATTTCATTTCCAGATAGTGTATGTCGAGTCACATGTCACATCAAGAGCCACTCTGTTAGTTGTGCTCAAGTTCTTTATCAGAACATGTCATCACACAGCTGTACGCCCCTTGTGACTGCCACATACTGCAAAAGGGGATCTGACTAGTTCCTGCCCTGCTTGGAGACCTGTGTATGTGTGCTTCCATTTGCCAGTTGAAAGTTGTTCCTTCGCAAGTGTACTAAGAAACAAATGCAAACTTGAGGTGCTCTTTCAGAGCAGCAAAAGATTTATGCCAGCCATGTCACTAGCTGAATGGCTTTCACAACCGTCTGACTCTGTGGGCCTTTGTTAGTAGTCACAGTGGGAATTGTGACCTGAAACGTTAATGTTGAGCGTGTTGTGTTTTAAAGTTTTGAGGAAAATGCAGAGACGGCATAGCAGCAACACTGACAACGTTCCTCCTGAAAGGTAAATCTTTTTCTGTCTTTTTTCCTCCATTTTTCTCTCCAGAGGGGAGTGTTCTGATCTAAGTGTCTGGTGTGTTTTAGAAGATGAAAGCTCAAAAGTGAGAAAGGCATATACATCCTGTGCATGTAGTGGCCAGGCTTTCTGCTCCAGTTTAAAGACAGATTTACTTTTCTCCTTTATGTCAGTTATTGACTGCTACCAACTACAGTGTTTCAGGTTTCATGATCCAGTATGGCACCCATGGAGACAGCTGGCTTAGCATAGGCAGGATGTTTTGGAGCTCTGGAAGAGCAATTCATGGCACAGTCCTGTGGAGATGCTGAGTGCTATCAATCTGAAAGGGTCAATCTGTATGAACAGAGGCTATTTATACTTCTGTTATTAAGATGTTTTAAAAGTCTGCTGATCTGAAGCTCCCAACTACTATGACTTAGTATTTCGGTGATCCTTGGCATCATCCCAGAATCTGTATCTAGCTTCATGTATGTGAATATTCAGAAGCAGAATACCTACCTCTAATTCACTTCTGTAATTATAACATCAGCAAGGGAGGCTTGCCACTGTTGTTGTTCTGGTGCTAAGTATTCCCTTGTCCTTTCCCAGGGTTAGAGCTTGACTCTTTTTTCCTAAAGAAGAAACTAATCTAATTACTCTAAGACAAAGATGGAACTAACAAATTTCGTTGCTCTTGCTGAGCTGAGATTGTAAGTGAAAGATCATGATCACAAGCAGTCACTAAGTATTTCTTAGTGGTTTTGCAGGTAGAGGTGAAGCTTCATGTCATGACCACTTCTAGCATGGTACCATTCTTAACTTCAGGGGAAAAGAAAGCCATCTTCAACTCTTTCTGCATGGTGCTACCCAAGCCTCAGTGCAGTCTGTGGGTTTTATATCAGCAGGCAAGCCTGGGGCTTGAGAGGCACATAAGGTGTTGTATGGGTCCACTCATCTGCAATGTAGAGCTCTCTGAGTCTGTACAAAATTGAAAGCCACTTTGGGATCTGTTTGAGTAGTTAAAATATGTTCAGAATAAGATAAGCAGAGTAATGTCATTTGTTTTTTATAAATGCTTCTGGTTTTTAACAGGGTAAATACATATTGTCAGTAACATAGGTTGAAGGTTTTCTAACTGTAGAATGAAATGCTGTTGCTGCTGGTTTTCACTTCTGTTAACTTTGGCAGACTCACAGTTCTATCCTTGTTTATTTGTTTTTAAATATGTCCTTGATAAATTCCTTCCTGCTGAAAGCGTAGCCATGTATCCTGGTAGTATTGTTCCAAACAATACTTGTGTCTTTATCTATAACACTGAGTTCCACCCAACCTGTTTGTTACGTTCCCAGACATAAGTACTGTCACATTATGTTCCTGTCTTGCGTATACATCCCTGAATTGTAATGTTAGGTATAAAATCTAAGATCTGGTTGATGACTATTTTGAACCAAGAAGAGGTGTGCAATATCTTGCTGACTTGATTCCTTGCTGGAGCCTGTGGAAAGACATTGGGAATGGGGTGTAGCTATAAAAAGCCTTATTAGGAGTTTACTTAGTGGGAAGGTATGCCCTGAGAGGTTTGAAGCTATCTCCAGAGTGAGATGAAAGGCGGTGTTCTGAGCCCTGTAAGATGCCTGGGGAGGCTTTTGAACCCATGGGAGAGAAAGGGTTAAGGGCCCTGTATGTGCCTTCATGTGCTGTCTTAGCTTGTGACCACTGTTTCTAAAGTTAGAGATCTCCAAGGATTCAAATCAAGAGAGACTGAAGCTCTGCAACGTGCCTTATTTGTGGGCTTTGCCTCTTAACTGAGCTTTATTTATTCTTTACTCTCCTTTTGCAAGTTAGAGAGGTATTTGCTGTCTGCCAAGCATTTACTGCCTACTGATTGTTCTAGTTGTTACCTGTATTGTTCCCTGTCATCTAAACTTTACATGTATTCATTTCAGTACCACAGTAGTGAGTTCACGCAAAGAAAGCGTATTTTCATTTGGTAATAAGATGAAGATATTTAAGACTTTCTTTTTGGAATCTGGCTATAATCCAACAAGCTCAGGAAAGAATCAGTGCCAGATCTAATTCTGTCCAGTGCCCAGTAATTTGGGTACATCCATGTCTAATTTGCCAAGAATATAAAAATAAAACAATTTATCTTGACCCATGAGCGCATCCTTCACTTACAATATTTGTTGGGTCAGGGACACACAAGCAGCTCTCAATGCTTCTCTTCCCCAGTTGACTCTGTCTCTTGTTTGTGTTATTCATCAGTAGGCAAGTACCAATCATCCCTAAATAAAGACAGAAGATTTTGGGGGTAGGTCATTTCTTTGAGTTAGCTTAATTGATTTGGTTGTATATAATGTGGCCTGTCTTGGTTGCACTGTGTAAAGGTACATGGGTTTTTGTATGTGTTGTGGTTTAACCCCAGTCTGCAACCAAGCACCACACAGCTGCTCGCTCACCCTCCCCGCCCCCCGCGGTGGGATGGGGGAGAGAATCGGGGAAAAAAAAGTAAAACCCATGGGTTGAGATAAAGGCAGTTTAATAGGACAGCAGAGGAAGAGAAAATAATAATAATAATAATGATAAAGGAACATATAAAACAAGTGATGCATAATGCAATTGCTTGCTACCTGCTGACCAATGCCCAGCCAGTTCCCGAGCAGCGATCACTGTCCCCCAGCCAACTCCCACCAGTTTCTATACTGAGCATGACATCATATGGTATGGAATAGCCCTTTGGCCAGTTTGGGTCACCTGTCCTGGCTGTGCCCCCTCCTAGGTTTTTTGTGCACCTGGCAGAGCATGGGAAGCTGAAAAAGTCCTTGACTAGCATAAGCAGTACTTAGCAACAACTAAAACATCAGTGTGTTATCAGCATTATTCTCATCCTAAATCCAAACCACAGCACTACGCCTGCTACTAGGAAGAAAATTAACTCTATCCCAGCCAAAACCAGGACAGTATGTTCTTTAAATACTAAAATCATTATAGAAGATATTGAATTTGGTGTCAGATGGGTTATTTCTTCGTTTTCTCCAAAAGGGGGTGTTTGGGAACTTTGTTCCTTAGATGAAGAAACTGGTGCATTTTGATCAGTTCTTTAGAATTACTCTGATCTTATCTTAGGAGTCTGATTACTGGCCTGTAACTGGTTCTGCAACTGTGACTTTCCAACAGCAAATAGAGTGAAAAACATCTGTCATCTGGAGACTTACTTATTCTGGTAGTGTGTGAGGAACTCTTAAATGACTACCGTCAGGACTGAGCTAAAAGACTGAGAAGTTCTGTGGCACTCGGTTTTGTTTAATCGCTTTTCTCTAATCTCTGTCCACTGCAGAAACCGGAGCCAAACAGTCAGTTCTGAAACCAGCGTGGATGAAAGTGGAGTTTTTGAAAGTCTGAAGGCTGAAGCTTCCTCACCACAACAGCTGTTCTCAGGCCTGGCAGGTATCCCATCGGGCACCATCACAGCCACGCCGTTCCAGTCAGGTTTGGTTCTGGGCTCTTATCATTCAGATGCCAGCCCCAAGGGAGGAAGGGACCAGTCGTACAGAAGGAGCCCCATTTCACCACCGGCAATCGTCCCATCACTTCCACCATGGCCATCACCGGGGTTCATCTCTACTGCACATGGCAGGAGGGGACCGCCATGGGCATGCTGAGGAAGGCAGCGACGAACAAGCTGGAACTCCAGCCCCAGCTCTTTCAGAGTTAAAAGCTGTGATCGGTTGGCTGCAGAAGGGACTTCCCTTCATCTTGATCCTCCTGGCTAAAGTTTGTTTCCAGCATAAGCTTGGTAAGCACCTATCCTTCTTGGATTGTAAGTATATTAGAGGGTGGTTAAGAAGCTTTATCATGCTGTGGTGTCCGATACATTTATCCACACAGCAGTGTCTAGAGGTAGTCTAGCATGAAGGGGACATATTCAAATGCATGGCATAATGCATTTGAGAAATTCATCCTACTTTCACTCCAAGCTGTTTTCATCTGTGTTAGTCCCATCTGCTTCCTGTCCTGACCTGTGGGAGATCAGTTCTGTACCTTTTCCTAATCTCTCCTTGACATTCCTGTAGGGGCTGAGGATGTTACCAAGGCTTCTCCCTCAGACCTAGGAGAGATGGGGAGAGCTTACATTAGTGATTAGCAAAGGCCTCTGTGTAGCACAGAAGGGCTCAGAGGGGTGAAGTGCTAGAAGGATGGTAGTTGTGAAATCAAGCCAAACAGCATCAGCAGTTACACACTGTAGTCCTGATCTTCAGAGTTCCCTAAAAAATATGTCTATCCAGGTTTCTTTAATGATACCCGTCATGTAAAATCTATTCACCTAATCCTCCTCTTACTACAAAATCATATGTGTAGCATGTCTGAGGATCCTTACTTGTTCTGGGAGTAGTATGCTGAGATTATTATCCCAGGGAAGCCAGTAATGCTTGAGTTTAGTCCGCTTACAGCTCTGCCAGTATTCTCCAAAACAGGTATTGATTCGTGTCTGCAACATCTTGCTCTTTGGACCTGGTATCCTGTATGGTTTTGATAGTGTGCCCTATCCTCCATGAGCTGCTGAACTGCTATTGTAATACTGTCATCTAGCTGTGTTCTGTTTGCACAATGCAGCCACAACTTGCAGCGCTTCTGTTCTCCTTTCACATGGAACCTGACATCACAACAGAGTGTTTGTATTGGGCTGGGTGGCAAGTGCTCACTGCAATAGCTTCATTTTCATTTAGCTTGAATTTGAACTTTATATGAATCCAGACTGCTCTGTTTTAGTTGCCTATATATTTGAATTCCCAGTGCATCCAGAATGTCACCTGGTAAATTTTTTTCAAAGCTTGAGATGCTGACATCAAATGGGTTAGGACTGAAGATCCTCCTACCCAGCCTTACATACTTTGACAGTGTCTTTCCCTGCAGGGATTGCTGTGTGCATTGGTATGGCCAGCACATTCGCATATGCCAACTCAACACTCCGAGAACAGGTTGCTCTGAAGGTGAGTACAGCATCTTACTCTCTTATGCTCCCAAGCAACTTTGCTCTTTGTATACAAAACAATGTCTATGTTGAACCTTCTTTTGCAATGTAGGGATGAATGCCATTATATGGATACAGATCTGTCAGAATAAGAGTACCGTGCTGTAATCCTCACTTCCTCTTCCTACTTCTCCCCACTGATGCTCTCCCACATTTTCCATCCTGCTCTTTCGTGAAAGTGTGTCAAAGCAAAACAAAGAAAGGAAACGTCAGGGATATTGTAATCTGCTTCTAGTTCTGCCGCTGACTGGCAGTGCATCTCCAAGCACTTCTCTGTGCCTTTCTCCATTATGTACAGCAGAGGTGCTGAAACTATTTCACTAGTTAATGATGAGATTTAATTTATTAGCATTTACGTAATGTTTTGAGATGTTCAGCTGAAGGATTTTGCAGATGTATTCCTTGTTAGGATCTTTATAATGCTCTGTGGATGATATGCTTAGAATATAAAGAAACCAGCAGGTCTTTTCAGGTCTTATGATCTTCAGTGTCAGCGGAATACTTCAACAGCACTAAAAGCACAAGAGTAGAATTGCTTTTTCGTAAAAATGACATGGGTGGCACAAGTGTATACTTATATCTACTAGCAGCAGTGGAATAAATGTGATACAATGCTGAATGAGCAGATAAATTGCACAATCATATAATAGATTGCTGTTGCCTTGCACTTTGCACCTCTGTCTTTCCAGCAGTGTGCCCATTAATCTGCCTGCTTTAAATCTCAACCTAACATCCCTGGCTGTTGAATAGCTACAAAGAGATATTTTCTTAATAAATCAGCTCACAAGAAAAATGCTGCGGTTTTTTTTCCTCCCAGGAGTAAAATTTACTCACCAAAATTACAGTGGGCCAAGACCCACAACAAGGTCTTCTGCTATCCAGCTTCTGTCTATATGTTCCTTGTCTTTTGAAATGCAAAATTTGTACTTCTTTTGACCTTTAAGTATTTCTTCAGTCAAAAATGGATGTTCTAGAACCTCGATGCATTCAGATAACATTCATATCTGCTGCATGTAGTGATGGGTTATGTTATATTTGATTTAGCTAAGCCTTCTTGTAAGTGACTTTGGATCTATTTGTAAAACACTCCTTTCATGAAGTGTCATTCCAGACAGGTGGCAGCTCAGAATTATAGTACAATATATGGAACTGACTTTTTTTTAACCTGCTTGTCAAAGTGCATTTTAAGTATCAGGAGAATTTAAATGTCCCAAGAAAGATCCCAACTTTGAAAATTGTGTTCTGCAAGTATGGCTGTCATTTTCACCAGTGTGTTTCCATTAATTTCTCTGAAGTTGCTTTATTTGAAAAGGTTAAGGTGAGTGAGAGCCATTTCTGCTTGTGTTTATATATGTCTTTACCTAGCAGCCTATCTCTGAGTCTTAGTCCTATGTAAGTAAACTAATTACTGAACACTTAGTTGCATATTTGTGTCCCCTGGGTTAGTCTTGCATTTTTCAGCAGTCAAAGGCTCAGTGCAACCCTTGAGACTTCGAATTTATCTTCTCTGCTTCTTTTTCTTGCTCAGGAGAAGAGATCAGTGTTGGTTGTCTTCTGGATCCTGGCCTTTCTCACTGGAAACACCTTTTACTTGCTTTACACATTCAGCTCTCAGCAGCTGTACAACAGGTGGGCAAAATTTACATTGTACATGATGAAAGCAGGTGATAATTGCCGGGGGGAAAAGAGGGAAGCCCACTTTTCCCCACACTTTGGGAGGAAGTGTGTGTACTTACAGTATCTGCTGTCTTTGTTATATCATTGTAATACCTTTCAATGGAGGAAAAGAATGCGTGCATCGCTTCCAGCAGTGGACTATGCTCCTATCAATAAATGACATAACCAGGGTCTAAATGGGCCAGGGTGTGATGATATACTACAGTGTTGCTGCTTGAAATATGTACACTTCCAATTTTCTTATGTATCGAAGCAGGGTGGATGCTTTTTTTTAGTGGGACTTCTGAATTTCCATTTTAACCTCTGTGACTGAGCATAAAGAGCAGGTGTTGGAAGCAGATAAGAAATTGACCCACTGATTTTCCTCCTCCTGTAAAGTTTCTTTTCAGTCTATCAAGCTTTGAGTCTGTTACAGGAGATAAACTGGAGATGAAATAGTAGTGTTTTACTTCAGTGTCCTCAGGGCTTGGAGGCATTTGGATCGGGGGTGATTAAGATAGCCTCCACTTTCAAACTCTGACTAAAGCGGTTCTCAAATACAGAAAAGTTAGTACCCATGGATTTGGTTCAGTACTATCCCTGCTTATTATAAAGCAGGGATTAAATGAGAGATAGGAAGCAAAGATACAGAACTTAAGCAAGGGGGTGTTAGTAGAGTAAACAGGAAGAAATGGAGCAATATCAAGCCTAGTTACTTGAGAAGGTAGTTTTGATATTAGTAGCTAAAACCATACAAATTATCTTCCCAATGAAAATTTTATTTGTCCCACTGAAGGGGACTTAGAACTTCAGACTGAAAATACAATGTGTGTGACATGCATCAGTTGGGTTTTGGCTAGATGGCTCTTGGGTATGTTTTTTCTGTCATTTATTTCATTGCTTCCTGGCTTCTTCCCACCAGTACTGTCTATGCAGTGGAAGAGTCAAGGTCTGCCCACAACCCTGGTATCCTTTGGAATTGCCCCTAATGCATTTGAGTTTGATCATTGGACAGTTCTGTATGTAAATGCTTCTAGAAAGGGGGAGAGATGAGAAGGCTTGTATGTATGGGTCCGAATGAGAGATTGCAAGCCATGGGATACTCTGTATAGCGCTTGTGGGAGGGAATGGAAGAGAAGAAACAGGTATGGCAGGAAGGTGTGAAAGCATTAAGAAGAAATTTGCACCACAGGGAAACAGTATGTCTCTAAGAAGAAGGTTAAGGTTAAAAGCATGAATGGGACTAGTTTAAAATAAAGGATAGATCATCTAAAATAAAAGGGGTTCAGCAAACTGGGGACATCCTACATACACCGTGTTCAGGGCGTGGTTTATTAACAGTGAACAGACTGGGCAACGGCTTCACTGAAAAGCCCTATTCTGGCGAGTGTGGTAGTGGTGCCTGCTGTGTCATGCTTGGGCTAGCGTATCTATTGCTTGCTGCGTGGGGACCTGTGACTATTAATGAGGCAGGCCTGTGATATTAGAAATAGCTGCTTCAGTTTTGTTTCTTTCTGGCTTATTTTTCATTTCCTAATTTATTTACTTTTTGCTTGTTTCTAGTGCATGAATAGTAGTAAAGTCTCTGATTCTGTTTCTGTTTTTAGGGTGTAATTTTACCTGTTGTGCTGTGCCAATGTTGTGAGTATTTTAAATTCACGTTCAGGCTTTTCATTCTGGGTTGGTTTTTTATGTTTGTTTTTTGGTTTTTGTTAAGTTTTTCTTTCTACCATGAGGCTTTAGTAGGTAAATATCCTGAAGAGGAATCCTGTTTTTTCAGTGTGAGTAGGGGAGTAGGGTCCCGTTCTCATTGCTGCTCAGGTCAGTAGCTCCTGCCCATTGCTACATGAAGTTCTGCTATCCTGGACTCCCCTTCTTGAAAGAACAAATGTTCAGCCCAGTCAATAACATTACGTAAGGGGCACTACCTTTTTGGACCTTTGGTTCAGGTTAAGAGTTGCTAATTAACACAGCCCAGCTCGTGGTCTGCTTCAGACAGTGGCAAGCCACTGTCAGAGCATGACACACACGAAGTTCTGACCTTTCTGCTATGTCTAATATAGTGCTTCCTTTGTCACCAGTTTGTTTCACATGCACAAGTAGCTTTAGAGATTGCTGCCCCTGCAGTAGTTCTACCTGTGGCAAGCCAGCCTCAGAGGAGCAAGACATAGTGGTCTTGACTTGGCCATGATTTCCCCAAGGAGTCATAACTACTGATGACTTGGACTTCAAAGGATAAGCTTTTACAATCAGATCTGATAGAGCAAGCCTGTGGACTAAATGCACTATCTTAGACCAAAGGCTTTTTTACAGTGTGGATAGCAGGTTATGGAGATTGAAATCTTCCAAAACAGATTTTGTACATGTTTGGGTCCTGTTTTCTGGTAGTGGGCAAACCTGCTGACCTCAGTAGAAATGGGCAAGAACAAAGTCAAGAGGCCCAGAGGAACCATGGGACTAATTTGCATGTCTTATTCCTGTTGCCCTTGAGAACTTCACTGAAGTTCGGTGGAGTTTCCAGGCTTTCTCTGGCCAGCAGTGGATACAGCTGGTATCAAGAAGCTTAAGTGAGGTTCTCCTCATTGGTATTTGAGCCTTGTTGTCGTGCCTTTCAGCCTTATATTTCTGAAACCGAACCTTGAGAGGCTGGACTTCTTCGACCTGATGTGGATTGTGGGGATCGCAGACTTCGTACTGAAGTACCTCACTATCGCGTTGAAATGCCTAATTGTTGCCCTGCCTAAGATCATCCTAGCTGTCAAGTCAAAGGTAAGAGTCTCTTTTCTTCTTGATATACGGATGTTTGTCTTTTATAATCAGATACGTTTACAACATGTTTGCAGCATGAAATATGGGTGGAAGAATAAAAATAATAAAATCTCTGATAAAACTTTGGCAGAAAGTCCCCTGGGTAGTGAGTTTGGGGTTTTGAGCCATCTGCAGACCTGAGCAAGGGTTTGGTAATGCCAGTAAGTAATTAAAGTCCAGAGAGAGAGAGAGAGGGAAGCATTGCTTGAGAAGGAATAGGTACTAGCAGTGAGATAACTAGTACTTGTCTCTTCAGCTTTCCACTTGGGTCAAAGAAGTAACAGTATTAAATTGAAGATACTGATGCCACAAAAGACAGCAACAGTTCTAACCATGGGTGAAGAAGTATTTTAACTAAATGGTTAGCATACTTAAATGTTTATAAAATCGTATGTAGACCAAGCCTAACTTTTGAAACTTTCTCCCTACATTCTCTTTCTTGAAATACCTTTTCATATTTTTTTACTCTTAGAGATCTGTCATGCTGCCCCTTCCTCCACTTAGTAGTGTCTACATTTCAGTGGCAAATGTAGCAATGTGTATTATTTGCATTTGGTAAGGAAACTTTCTGGCAGCTGTTGGGATGAAAGGCACTATATAGATGCAAGATATTATCATTAATTGCTGAAAGTCTCAGGCAGGGCACTTAAGAGGATATCTAAACTGGGAATAGTTTTGCTTACAAATGACATGGGTGGCAGGGGAGTTGAGCAGTTTGTTCCTGCACAGCAGGGCTATTCGAGATGGTTATTAATTTATTTCTGGCGATTGTCCAGCTTTTTTTTTTCCCTTCTTCTTCTATTATTATTATTTTATTTTGGGAGATTAATGTGCTAGGTCAGACCATAATCCAGCCTGGGGAGGGAGGGAAAAGTGATGTGAATAGTCTTCCCAAGATAAATTGCAGTGTTGGAAAAGGTTCACAGCCTTTGCTTGCTTGTCTGAGAGCTATCCCAAGTACTCATTAATCCTTGTCGGGAGAGAAGAAAGAGAAGGGGTCTTTATTTGCAGCTACAGTGGGAGGCTGGTAAGATCACATCTGTCAAGGGCCTATAATGACTCGGAGCACAGATGCTTCATTTTTAATACCTTTTTCTGGATAGCAATATTTCTCACTTTTTTAAAGTCCCCTTTTTGTCTTAGGATGTTGTTGATGGTCTCACTGTCCCTTGACATCTAAGACTGCTGTTACCTACCACTATGGATCTGGATTTATTTTTTCCCCTCTCTCTACACTGCATCCATTAAGCTAACCAGGGATGAGATTTGATGTAACAAATTAAGCAAGATCAAACTGGGATGGGAGAGCTCCAAGAGAACCCCAGGATGCCATAGAAATTGTAATTGGTAACCACATAGCTGAGCTCTTTCGCTGA